CCAGATACACAGGGCGTTGCCAGGTGGACCACAGGAGAAAGTTCATGCAAGAGGCAAACCTGGTGAGGATGCAGCAGCCCCGACCCACCCCAGACCTTGGGTCTGTACGGGCCTGTGGGTGAGGAAGCCCCTGCACATCTTATCCTGGGTGTGCAGTCCCACCAGGGCTAGGGCCACCGATCTTCCAGTGCCACCCCCGCTTCTACTTCCATGCGTGTTCCCCCATGGTCCCTGCCCCAGAGCCCTCTGTTCTGCACACCCACGTGTTGTCTTTGTGTTGCTACATCTGTGGATCTAACTATGAGGGAGCCTCCATAAGTTCTTAGACAGAATTATGATTGTAGAAATTTCCCATAAACTTCTGAAGCCCCCACCAAAAAAAGAGCAGCTGGAGCCAGAGAGACGAGCGTATGATTGGGAGGGTTGGGTGCCCCGCAGTTGTCTGATCCTGGGCAGCATACGTTGTTCCTCTGAGTCCCGGCGTCATCGTCTACAGAGTAAAGCCTGACTCGTGGGGCTCACTCCTGCAGGGAGGAGGAAGCTCACCAGGCTCCACCTTGGAGAGTTCTCAGAAACCGCTCTGCAGCATGCAAATCATGTTGGGGGCGGGGGGGGGGGGTAACACACTGTCAGGACGCTCCTGAGACATCCACTTTCCATACCAGATCAGGTTCAAGCCCTGACTCTGCTCCCCATCCAGCTTCCTGCTAATGCACACCCCGGGACACAGCAGGGGGGGCTCGAGTACTTGGTTTTTCTGCTACCCATGTGAGAGACGCAAATGGAGTTCCCGGTTCCCGGCTTCAGTCTTGCCCAGCCCTGGCTGTTGCGGTCATTTGAGGACTGAACCAGATCTTTCTCTGTCTGCCTCTGTCTCCATCTTTCTGCCTTTCAAGTCAAATGAAAGTAAATAATAAAAAGTGGCGATGGATACATACAAATAACGAACGCATAGAAATTTATCCTTTGGGAGCTGGAATTGTGGCGCAGCAGGTAAAGCAGCCACCTACGATGCCGGCATCCCATGTGGGCACCGGTTCGAGTCCGGGCTACTTCACTTCCAATCCAGCTCCCTGCTAATGCACCTGGGAAAGCAGCAGAATTGGCCTAAGTCCTTGGGCCTCTGCACCCATGTGGGAGACCTGGGTGAAACTCCTGGCTCCTGACTTCCATCTGGCCCAGCTCTGGCCCTTGTGGCTATTTAGGGAGGGAGTGAACTAGTGGATGGAAGATCTCTGTCTCTCTCTCTGCCTCTGCCTCTGCCTCTCTGTAACTCCACCTTTTAAATAAAATAGATAAATCTTTAAAAAAAAATTATCCTTACCTCGCTGAGAGCAGAATGAGTGTTTCACAGTGTTAAACGGAAGTTAAGAATCTTTCATGTGAGGTCTGAAGAACTATGTCGGTGCCTACAATGCAGCCACACACCTGAGTGAGGTGCAACCTCTGGGGGTGCTAGCCCCCAACTCAGAGCTGCCCAGCAGCCAAGGCAAAAAGAGAAACACTCGGCGTGTAGAGTTCTCATGATGTGGTTTGTTAAAGCTACATAATCCCATTATAGAAAGGGCATTGGTCCCCTGATGTCCCACGCAAAGGTGCAGAATGACCCAAACGCAGGGCCCTGTTTCACAGGGGGACACGGGCAGGGGGCTCCCCCTCTCCCACCGTCCTCGGCCGCAGCGCCCCCATTCTAAGGCCCCGCTGGCCCTCGCGGCGGCCGCACGGCCGGTGCCTGCCCCACCCCCCCACCCCCCGCACTCTGGCACCCTCCTGCTTCCCGCTGACTTCCTTCTGCAAATGTTTTCTCAGGTGGTGAAGCTGAAAGGCCAGGTGCTGTCAGTCATGTATCGATTCCGCACCAAGACCCGGGAGTGGATGCTGATCCGCACCAGCAGCTTCACCTTCCAGAACCCCTACTCGGATGAGATCGAGTACATCATCTGTACCAACACCAACGTCAAGTACGTCCCGGCCTCCGCCCCGCCCCCTCTGGCTCAGGCCCCGTGACTTTAGCCTGCAGCTCTTAGTTCCTGCAGCTGCACACCCCGGCGCGGCGTCCCTCCCCAGCTCCTCCTGCTCGCGCCCCTCCCGATTTGTAAGAACCCAAAGGACTGAGGGATGACCCCGGGGCCTTCCGTTCCCTCTGACCAGGGCGGGCTGGCCCCTGTGCCCATTGCTCTGTCTCTGGACGTGGGGCCAGGCTGCAGGCCCTCCCTCCATGCTCCCTGGAGCAGCTGCTTGGTCCTGCCAGAGCTGGGGTGGAGGGAATGCGGCTGAGCTCTGGGGCATGGGGCCGGTGGCCTGTGGGTGGGCGTTGTGGGGACACTGCTGCCCAGACAGTGAATATTCCTCCCTGCCCAGGGCCTGGGGAATGGGGAGGGAGGGGTCCTAGGATGTCCACTCACTTCTCCATTCCTGTGTCCCACGCATGTGAGCACGCAGCTCGCACCTTGGCCTTGCCACTGTCTGGTCATGTGACCTTCATCCCTTAGCCTCAGTTCTCTTCTGTGAAATGGGTTGATGGTAGCTCCTCATAAGGTGGTTATAAAGAGTGAATGAGGTCAAGCGCCCAGCTGTGGGCCAGACACCGGGTCCAGCTCGTGGTGGGCATGGGTGTGAGTGTGGGCAGGTCGCACCTCTTCTTGGATAACTCCAAGGACCTGACCTGGGTATAGGATGATGTGAAAGTGACAAGGCACTCAGAGGAAAGTGCTTCAGGGTTACAAGGCTGCTCTTAGGCCCAGGACATCAGCACTGAATGATCAGTTGGGTCATCCTGCTCAGTGCCACAGTCTCTGAGCTACAGGGGCACTCAGCCCGTGGGGACACAGTAGGCTTGGCCGTGGACCACCTTGCCCACCTGTAGGCTGATGTCAGTGTTCTGAGCGCTTTTGGCCTGGGCCAGGCTGAGCCCTGCTGCTGTTGGGTGGATTCCACGCACGTTCGATGTCGGATTTTTCCGACTTCCATGGGTTTGTTGGGCTGTAACCCCGTGGGAAATCTAGGAGACTCTGCAGCAGGTCAAGGAACAACACAGACACTTGGGCCAAAGGATGTCCCAGGAGATGTTGGCACGTGGACGCCACGCCCAGGGTGGCAGGGAGAACACCCGCGCACGAGTCCCCGAGTGGTCAGTGGCACCGCCTCCACCCCCCCACCCGCCGCCCGGTTCTCCCAGTGCAACACTTAGGCACAGAGTTCTCTCCCGACCCTAGCAGCCCCTCTCCTCGGCAGCCTGGGCCTGGAGACGTCGGGCAGCTGCCCTGGCCTCCTGGCACCTCGGCTCTCACTGCTGCCCACGGTGCCCTCTCTGAGCCTCTGCCCTTGAGGCTTCCCCTGAGGGTCCCACAGCCACTGTCCGCTCCGGGCAGCCCTGGCCCTGCCTCCTCAGCCTTGGTGCTGGGCCACAGAGCACAGAGCTGAGTGCCCGAGGCTGCGCGAGAGGCCCTGAGCGGCTCCCCTACCTCTTCCAAGTGCCAGTCCCCTCGTCTGGAAGGTGGGGAGGGCAACAGAAGCTGCTCCCCGGGCTCACGGGGCCCTTTGCAGGCTCTGCACAGAGAACAGCCTAACAGCCCAGCCCGCAGGGCGGCACAGGGCAGGTGGTCCCGCAGCTAGGACTGACACTGCCGGCGGCCGTGGCAGCAGGGGCCCTGCCACGTCTTGGGACAGCTTGGCCACGTCCCCCGCCGGCACTCACTGGCGGCCCCACATCTTGCTTGGTCTCCTGCATGCCCTGCCTGCCTTCTCCTCACTCAGGGCACATGACCTGGCCTTCCAGTGATCCCAGGAGCGGAGTTGCCCTGGTGAGCCTCCTTCTCAGTCCGCTCCTCCCCTCCCTGTCTGCCTCCCTGCACGGGCAAGGCCTCCTCCTCCTCCTCCTCCTCCTCCTCCTCCTCCTCCTCCTCCTCCTCCTCCTCCCAGGGCCACGCACTCCACTTCCTGCTTCTCCCAGCACATCCTCCGTCTCCCACATCCTCTGGGCCACGGCCTCCCCGTGGGAGCCTTCAGGCGGGCACACAGCTTCCTGGTCTTGCAGAACCGCTGCCAATCCAGGGTTTCCTGTGCTGCGGGGCGCTGCCAGGTGTGTCCAGCAGAGCCTCCCTCTGCACTGCTCGTCTCTTCTTCCCCGGGGCAGCCAGGCTCCGGCCGCAGCGCTGCTGAAGCTGCGTTCCCAGCAGCCACCACGGCCCCTCACGGCAGAGTCCGTCCTCACTCTCTGACCATCTCCTCTTCCCCTCCGAGCTCACCCGGCGCTTGGATTCTTCTTCCTCTTTATCCGACCCAACACTCTCCTGGTTGTCAGTATTGCAGGGACGGCAGAACCAGTCAAAAACCCAGCTTTGCAGAAACACGGCGTTTATTTCTGCACATGAGTTTAATTTAAACTTGATAAACTCGGTCACACTGGCAGCTTTCAACATGGGAAGAAGGTTCTGCACCCAGAGAGGAGAGAGGCGTCCCTAGTGCCACGTTCATGACTGGCCCCCGCCTTGACGAGAAGGGGAGGCTTGGGGATGGGAGTGAGAGTCAGACAGCCTTCAGTCCCATAGGTAGGGCGCAGAGAGGGTGGGCATGGCACCAGCTCCTCTTTCAGGAGCTCTTAGAGTGGAGGTAACAGCAGGTGCCCCCTGATCTGATGGAGCCAGGGGGCAGTGGGGGCCCTGGAGGGAGAGGAGGGAGAAGATGCCAGCCCAGATCCACATCGCATCTGCACAAGCCGTACCTTAGCCCCAGACGCACAGCTCACACCTGTTACAGCCCCACCCCTGCCCCAGCAGTCTTGGAAATGGACAAGCACTTCACCCATTCAGAGCCCTGGGCACTGTTGTAGAACCTTCGCCCTCTGGGTGCCAACCACCTGGCTTTGGGCCAGGACTGCCTCTCCCATCTTGTCCCTTTCTCTTCCATTTACCTCTCTCTCTGCCTCTGCCTCCTTTCCAGACCTGTGTCCATTTTCCCAGCCTTGAGTGTCCAGGGTTCCTGCCCGTGCCAGGGACTCTGAGGCCCTCTTCCACCCATCATTGAGGCTGCCTGTCACCTGAGCTTCTAGGCTGTTGCAGGAGCAGCCCGAGTCCTGCCTGTCACTGACGCAGGGTCCCTGACTGGGGGCCCAGAAGAGACTTCTCGATTTGGGTCTGAGGAGCAGATTGGAGCTTGGGTTTTGGAGACTTGACAGTTTCTCGCATTCTTCATTCACTTCGTTCGTCGAGCAGGTGCACGCTTTTGCTGCGACTGAATGCAATGCAGCAGGTGCTCCGTGAGCTCGGTGGGAGGACAGGGCTGGGCCGGGCCGAGGTGCTCCACGCAGCTCCTGCCAGCAGGGAGGAGCCCGTGTGCCCCAGAGCTAAGGCTCGGGTTTTCTGATGTGGGTAGCGTAGAGGGGGCAGTCGGGAGGGGCAGGTGACCTACGGGGGAGACACAGAGGAAGCAGAGGGGCCTCCGAAAGCATCGCCAGTAGGGAACGGGGCAGCAGAGCCTGGAAGCAAAGCAAGGGCCCTCCTCTCTTAAAACCAGCCTCCTCCGGCTGAGGTTTTGCCGGGCAGCACTGACATGGCAAAGCTGTTCTGTGCAGAGGCTGCGTCTGTGTAGTTTTCTGGGAACCTGGGGCTCCCGTTTGGCAGAACGCCCCCGCCCCGCCCGCCTTCCACCGGGGGAGCCGGAGCCTTCTGCACAGAACGCGCTGTGGCAGGACACAGGGCCTGGAGAGCTTGCTGTGGACGGTAGAGGGCAGCGGCGACCGTGCCTGCCACCAGGCCAGCTTGCTTCGGAACGGAGCGAGGCTGAGCTTGGCCAGCAGCAGGCGGCCTTGCCGTGGAGATTCTGTGTTCTTGGGAGAGAGCTCTGCCGAGTTCAGCTGCACGCAGTGCGGGGCATCCAAAGGAAACTTCCTGCGGGACTGAGTGTTTAATGTTTAGCACTTGTGAGAAGCTGCGGAAAGGAGGCCCTGGGTCTCACCCCGGATTTTTTTTCTGTCCCGTTGATACAGAGCGAAGTCCGGGAAAAAATAAGCCGGTTTAACACATTGCTCACTTGTAACTTTTTTTTCATTTGTATTTATTTATTTGAGAAGAGACAGAGAGAGACGGAGCACTTGCATCCCATCCACTGGTTCACTCCCCAAATGCCTGCACGAGCTGGGGCTGGGAGCTGGGATCCAGGAACACAAGCCCAGGTCTCCCGCGCGGGTGGCAGGAACCCAGCTCCTTGCGCCACCCCCACTGCCTCCCAGGGCCCCCACTAACAGGAAGCTGGAGTTAGGAGCAGAGCTGGTATCAAGCCCCGTACCCCGTGTCTTCACCACTAGGCCAACGCCCAGCCCTGGTCCCTTGTTCCGCAGCATGCGAGGTCCCTGGACTTGGGGGTCAGCTCTTCGTTCCCAGGCGAGCTGTGCCCTGGTTCCGAGCTCGCGTCACTCCCAGGTTTTCATGTCTGCACAGCGTCGCCGCTGTGCTGTTTCCATTTAGGGGAGTGAGCCACAGTTACCACCAGGACCTGCGGAGCCCTTTCCTGGGACGGCTTGTGGTGCCGGGGTGTGTGTGTGTGTGTGTGTGTGTATGTGTGTGTTCTTAGTACCCCACCCCACCCCCCACAGTCACGCTGAGTCTCCACGCCACTCACGTACAGAGTGCTGGTTGGTGCAGAAGTAGTAGGAAGTTTGCATTCCTGGAGCCAGTACAGAGCTGGAACACCCTAATGGTGGTCTGGGGCCCTGCCTCCCATTCTGTACCCAGAGCCCCACAGGCCCTGTGGAGCCCATCTGCCACGCTCCGTGCTGTCCTGCAGGGTCGGCCGGACAGGCCAGAGGCAGGGAGCGACCCTGGAAAACACACTGCTCCCTGCCCCGTCATGTCCAGCCAGGTCCCTTCCCAGGCGTCGGGAGCCCTTTGCGGAGGGCTCGCAGGTGGCGTGGTGGGAGCTAAGAGCCGCCTCTGGGCTGCAGAGCTCACCAGACCCCTGTGCCCCACCACCACCTGGGTACCCCCAGGGGTGCGTCCCACGCTGCCTCCCTGGTGGATGCTTGCTCCCTTCCTGGGGCTGAGTGAAAACCTCTGTCCGAGGAGTCTCCATGCACATCCTGGGCACTGGCTGGCAGGGAGCTGGCCTCTCAGGCCTTGGCCCTGGTCTTCGGCCGTCAGCCCGGGCTGATGGAGGCTACAGCGGGCCGCGGCGAGGGCCACCTGCCTCCGTGCGCCCCTGAGCGCCGCGCTGGCTGCCTGTCTGGCATGTGTGCTTGCACTGAGGTTTATTTTCACTCTGCTGCCGTGGAAGGCCCGGGGGAGCTTCCCGAGGCCCCTTTTTGGGATGGGGCGGCCGGCGGGTCAGCGCTGCTCCTTCCACAAGGGCCAGCTGTGGAAGCAGAAGCCCAGAGGGTGTGGGACGGGGATGCGGGCTTCCCGATCACACAGCCAGGGGGGCCAGGACCCGGGGGATCCGCGAGCCGTGCCTGACACCTTCCTTTCTCTACTTCCGAGTACAAGGAGCCTTCTGTGGGCTGGAGGAACAGGGAGCCAGCCCCGGCCTCATGCCTTGACCCGTATCCCTCCATCTTGCAGGAGGGAATTCCTCCCTGCACGCCGCCCTGCGCCAAGGCCGGGGCTCTGCGAGGGAGAGTGTGGTTTGCACGGATCCCCGCTACGGTGCGGCGCCCACTCAGCAATCCCATGAAATCCCAATGGCTCCCACCTCGTGGCTCAAGACGGTGTCCTGCTGAGCCCAGGGCTCTGGAGTAGGAGACGGGGCATAGTAGTTGTGGCTGCCACCGTGGCAGCCCAGGGCAAAGGAAGGCGTAGCCAGACAGCCGTGGTGGGAATCTTGTGTGTCGCCCCGGGCACGTCCCGGAAACTTCCTGAGCCTCCGTCCCTCCATCTGTGACCTGGGGAACACTGCACAGGTGTGAAAATGCTGGCACAGGGCTGGCTGTCGGGCCTGCATTCAGATGTTAGAGGCCCCACGGCTCACTAGGCTAATCCTCCACCTGCGGCACCGGTACTCCAGGTTCTAGTCCTGGTTGGGGCGCCGGATTCTGTCCTGGTTGCCCCTCTTCCAGTCCAGCTCTCTGCTGTGGCCCGGGAGGGCAGTGGAGGATGGCCCACAGGCTTGGGCCCTGCACCCGCATGGGAGACTAGGAGAAGCACCTGGCTCCTGCCTTCGGACTGGTGCAGCGGGTAGGCCATAGCAGCCATTTGGGGAGTGAACCAAGTCTCTCTCTCTCTCACTGTCTAACTCTGCCTGTCAAAAAAAAATGAGGGTGACAGAGCCCCCCAAGACGTAAATGAAAATAAAGCAAAGCAGAACTGTAAAGGAGGGACAAGAAAATGCAAGCAGTGATGGTCTCACTGTGGTCATGACGCAGATTATTTATTTAAATTTAAATATTTATTTAAATATCAATTTGTTTTGAAAATTATTCTTGGGGGTTGGCGTTACAGCACAGTAGGATAAGCCACTGCCTGTGACACCAGTTTCAGTCTGGCTGCTCTGCTTCTGATCCAGCTTCCTGCTGTTGTGCCTGGGAAGGTAGTGGAAGATAGCCCACAGGCTTGGGCCCCTGCCACCCATGTGGGAGACCTGGATGAAGCTCTTGGCTCCTGGTTTTAGCCTGGCCCAGCCCAGGCCATTGCAGCCATTTGGGGGAGTGAACCAGCAGATGGAAGACCTTTCTCCTTCTCTCTGTCACACTACCTTTCAAATAAAGTCAACCTTGAAAAAAAAAAGTTAAAAAGTTATTTTTAAATTGTTTATTTATTAATTTACTTGAGAGAGAGACAGAGTGAGAGAGACAGAGTGCTGACTCACTCCCCAGATGCCCAGAATGGCCAGAGCTGGGTCAAGAACTCAGTCTAGGCCTCCCACATGGGTGGCAGGAACCCAAGTACTTGACCGCTACCTGCCACCTCCCGGGGTGTGCATCAGCAGGGAGTTGGAATCGGGAGCAGAGGCAGGACTGGAACCCAAGTCTCCAATATGGGACGTGGGCATCTCGCCTGGCTTCTTAGCCATTAGGCCAAACACCTGCCCTTGGAAATCACTTTCAGTGCCGGTCCACCAATCCTGGGCTTCGACTGCCAGGGTGAGGGGGAAGCCGTGTGCTCTGCTGTTGTCCTTATCATTAGCAGGGAACCAGACTGGAAGTTGGAGCAGCCAGGACTTGAACTGGCACCCCTAAGGGATGCTGGCATCACAGGTGGTAGCTTAACTCGCTGTGCCCCTAATAAGCCGTTTTCTCTCCCAAATGGAGCAGGCTGGTGGAGGCAACCCCACAAAGCACATTGATGTCAGAAGCATTAGGTCAGACCCCGGCTCTCTCCATCAGCTACAACCTGCCAGCCTTCTTGTCTCTCAGTTTGTCTATTTCAACATGTGGGTAAATGGACCATGGTGATAGCTTGGTGTGCGCGCTGAGTGAGACCAGGTGGACACCTGCCAGTGGACAGGTAAGCAGGCGGTAGCTGCAGCCAACTGCTTGCTCAGCAGTAAACCCACCTGCTTTGCTGGAGTTTGCTTTTAACATCTGTTGTGTAGTGCGGTATCTTTTTCCCTGCACAAAATGAAGTCATACATCAGAATTTATTTCCTGAACAGTTCAGCATGGCAGCCTAATCTATGAGACACAGAACTCAAGAGTCTTGATTCGGGGCGTTAAAAATTAAATAAAACAACTAAAAATGGAAAACAGTGCAGAGCTCCTTGGGGCATGGCACCTGTGCCTGCAGAGTGGGACTGTGCCGGGCTCCACCCTGTGCCGCCCCTTCTGCTCCTCATGCCTCTCTGTCGACCGTCTTGTTCCCCAGGCAGCTGCAGCAGCAGCAGGCAGAGTTGGAAGTGCACCAGAGAGACGGGCTGTCGTCCTACGACTTGTCGCAGGTGAGTTGCTAGGAGATTTCTTTCCCAGTTGGAACTGTCTGCATCCCAGGAGACGAGAGACTCAATCCAGCCCTTGGCGGGAGCCCTCTCAGCCCCAAGGGTGCCACCCTCCACTCATGAGAGCCATCACCACGGGGACTTCAAGGTCACGGGGAGACTCTGGAACTCAGCGTCAGAAGCCAGCGAGAGCCGGTCCTCTGGCCTCCTGATCTTCTCCCGCCTTTGTGCTGTGTCCGCCTGTTCCATGCGCCTCGTCCTGTAGCTGTGCCCGGCCCGTCTCTCCCCTCCCTCTCCCATCTCCTCCTTTGCCGTCTTTCCTTGCTGACTGCTTGGGTTGCTATTGGGCCCCTTTCTCAAACTTTACGTTGCCCAGATTTAGAATGAGCTGTGTGCTTTTCACTGGTCTCTCTCCAAGGTGTGACGCCAGGGTCCCTGTGGTCACCTGTAGTTCTCTGCTCCCCCTGCCAGCCCTTCAAGCCGGAAGTGCTGGTGACTGCAGAGGGAGGGGCTCTGGGGACAGAGAAGCCAGGGGCTCATGGACCCTGCCCAGCGTCTCACCCGTGTGGTGCTGCTGTGTTCTCACGCACCGCCAGGTCCCGGTCCCCAACCTCCCCACTGGAGTTCACGAGGCCGGGAAGTCGGTGGACAAGGCTGATGCCATCTTCTCCCAGGAGCGAGACCCCCGGTTTGCCGAGATGTTTGCAGGAATCAGTGCGTGTAAGTTTCAAGCGTCACTGCTGGCGGGAGGATGCCGGGGTTCCGGGCGCTCTGACCGGGGCCACTGCTGCAGGATATAAGAGGGTCCGGATTCGTGCTCTCCACACGCCCTGTCTGCTACTCATCAGGTGCCTGGGACAAGCCCCCTGGGACCCCGGCACCTCCTTGTTGGAAAGGAAGGGGTGGAATTCTTGGGCTCTCGTCATCCATTGCACAGTTAAGTTTTATTAAGCCCTTTAGAGACATGTCCCGGTTTTTTAAAAAAATTACAACTTAATTGAGTGCATATAAGGAAACACATTTTAGAATAAAAACATAAAGAGAGAAAATAAACATGAAAATGATTCACTGTTCTACCTGAAATTCATCCACTTTAGCTTTGAAAATTGTATCCCTTGTATTGTTCTACCCATCTGCATTCTTTCTGTGTAGGCTGTTGAGCTCATTTTTTTCCTGATGGCTCACTTTTTTAAAAAATTTATTTATTTATTTGAGAGGCAGAGTTATAGAGAGAGGGAGAGACAAAGAGAGAGGTCTTCCACCCACTGATTGACTCTCCTAATGGCCACAACGGCTGGAGCTGGGTTGATTTGAAGCCAGGAGCTTCTTCTGGGTCTCCCACATGGGTGCAGGGGTGGCCCAAGCACTTGGGTCATCTTCCACTGCTTTCCCAAGTGCATTAGCAGGGAGCTGGATGAGAAGAAGAGCAGCCAGGTACCGGCACCACAGGTGCACAGATCCGCGCTACCCACTTACACTTTCTGAAAATCCCACTCACCCAAGATGGCACCTGTTTGGTAAGTGAATCAGAATATAGGACACAGGAACGGGAGCAACAGATCGGAAAAGCAGTGATGATAAAAAGCGAAATTACTGCCGCCTCTGGAATGAACGCCTGCCTTGTCAGAAAATGCAGAAGATGAACGATGAAAACCAGAGTCCCAGATTTCAAATGAATTCAGCAAGGATCCAGAGGGGTGTCGGACGGGGGGCAGTAAAATGATAAGAAAAAAAAAAACTTCTCATCAGTGTGTACTATCTGGTCTCTGACATTCATAGCGACATTTAGCTTCAGGTGTGTGCAACCATAGTTAGGAAGGAGAGAGAGGAAGAAGGGAGGGAGGGGGAGAATGAGAGGAGAACCTGAGGAAGTGTTTAGCCAATCACAGAATTCTCAAAAGAAAAGCATAGTGAATAGCAAGCCAGACTGCGTGTGGAGAAGGATGAACTGGTCGGATATCCAAGGACTCCTGGTTGATAATTCGCTGTCTAAATACAGCACAGCCAGGCAAGATGCAGCAGACAGACCCTGGAGAGAGAGGCAGAAATGAGTGGCAAACTCGGCCAGAGCTGGCCACCATTGTGAACGGGGGAGGAACCAGGGAATCATCCAGCAGGCTTAGCCCACAGGGCAGAAGGTGCAGCCTGAAACAAAGTTGCGAACATCAGGAACCATTGGCACAGTGAAAGCTCAAAGGATCAGGGCCCAAGAAGCTGCCGAGCAAGCCCCACGGGCGGGGCAGTCTCACTGTGCCTTTCTTCACTGGTGGCGGATCAAGTCGGTCAAAATCATCAAGACGAAGATTCGTAAAACCAAGGCTCTTCACGTATACCAGGGGAGCGTCCAAACCTCCCGGAGAATCTGTGTTGTGAAAAAGCTACGCATGGATTTCAGAATTTCAGGGCACTAAAATTAGCTTTTAATCCCATTTCTCACGGGTTGTTTAAGCTCCCTTGTGCGGACTGAATGTTGTACCTTACATATGTGCTGGAGCGATTAAACATGCACTGTGTTTGCTATTTACCCAAACCACGGGAAAAAAAAATACCTTAAACACAGAAAGGGGGAAAATGGCTTGCATTAAGTTTATAGGCAAGGAATGTTCCCTGGGTGCGGGCCTTTGGCACAACAGCTAAGACGCAGGTTGGAATAGCCACACTCCCCAGCTCTGCTGCGGATCCCAGATTCCTGTGCACCTGCACCCTGGGAGGCGGCAGGTGATGGCCTGCAGCCCACTTTGGGAGACTTGGATTTTGTTCCTGGCTCCTGGTTTCCACCTGGCCCAGCCCCAGCTGTTGTGGGCACCTGGAGAGTGAACCAGCAGATGAGATCTCTCTCTCTCTCTCTCTCTCTCTCTCTCTCTCCCCTTTCCTCCTCCCTCTCTTCTTCCTTTTCAAATAACCAAATTAATACAAAAATTTTAAAACCTGAATAATAGTTAAAAAGGAGGAGCACCCAGTCTGCCTAACTCCCCCTCAGTTTGCTCCTTATTCCCAGGATTTGGGCCCTGAGGTTGGATTACAAACGCATGCCCAGAGCTGAGCTCCCGTATCCTTCCCGGAGTTCCGCTGCCCCAGCCACAGCGAATGCAAATGGACGCAGAACCTGTCCTGTGGCTTGTTTTGCATTGAAACATCACAGAGGCTGTTCACGTGCCTGGGAGACTGAGCTTTCGGTCCCTGTAGCCCCAAGCCCATGAGGCTGAGCGTCCGGCGTGGCACCACTGTTCTCGAGCGCTGAGGGGACACGCCCCCTGCCCAGCAAGCCTGACACCTGGAGCAACATGGGTCCACTGAGCACAAAGCGGCTGCCGTGTAACTAAGATTTATCCCATATCCCAATACATTCTTGCAGGTGGGGGAAGTCAGGCAGTACACGAGGGCGTTTCTGAAAGTGTGGGGAAAGATGGAATTAAAAGATAAGTTTGTTTTACTGCCCCCAAATTTTGAAATCCATGCATAGTTTTCTCATCACACACATTTCCATGAACTTTTTAAAAAGATTTATGTGAAAGGCAGAGTCACAGAGCGAGAGACAGAGAGGGAGACTCTTCCACCTGCCCGTTCACTTCCCCAAATGGCTGCAATGGCCAGAGCTGGGCCAGGCTGAAACCAAGAGCCTGGAGCTCAGTCTAAGTCTCCCGTGTGGGTGCAGGGGCCCAGGCACCTGGGTAATCCTTCACTGCCTTCCCGGGTGCATTAGCAGGGAGCTGGGCGGGAAGTGGAGCAGCCGGGACTGGAACAGGTACTCGGATGTGGGCTGCACCACCGTGTCCGCCCCTCTGTGAAGACCCCTCAAAGGAATGCGATGTGTAGGTTCTGAGGCTGTGCGAGGGCACTGCAGAAGCCCTGGACACTCAGTGACCAGACGGGAAACGCTGGACCCGCTGGTGATCTTGCACCCATCCACGTCACAGCTAGTTCCTGCCTTCTCTTGGGCAGGCAGCCGGCTGGGACTAGTCTCGTCGCTCTGCGCTCCCTCGGCGGGTGAGGTCCTGGGCTGGGGCTGCTGCAGGCCACCGTGCAGTGCAGGAAAGCGGCAATGATGCCACAGCCCAGCCTGGGCCTCGATGGTTTCAGCCACACAAGGGGTTCATACTAATAAGGAAACCCATGTTGGAAAGACAAGGAACACAGGTCCTACGCCGGCCCTGGTGGCTGGCTGAGGCTCACAGCAGCTCTGGCTGGGTGGGTGAGGGCAGAGGGTTCAGGGGGCTGTGGGAACAGTGCTGGGCTTGGGTTCAAGCCCTGGGTCCTCCCTGCTGGGTTCCAGACCTTGGACAAAGGAGAGAAAATATAGGTGCTGTCAGCTGTGTCACCAGGCCCTGTCCCCAGCACTTTAAGCAGGGTAATTCATTGGATTCTCCGCTGTGTCTTCATGAGGAGGACCCTGGCCTCACCTCCCTGCAGTGGGGGAAATTGAGGCAGGGGGTGGATCAACAACATGTCCAGGTTTGCCTCTTGGCATGTTGGGCAGAGCCGGGGTCTGCGGGTCCTCCCCTCCTCTCCCCTGTACCTCCAGCCTTTAGACAAGAACGTGTACAGCCCGCCCTCGGGGTCAGATGCATTGCATGGACCCCCTCTGCCGAGAACTTGCTTGGCCCTAACGCTCCCAGCTCTCAGAACGCGGGCCCCGCCTGCAGGCGGCTGTAGCCTAGCTTAGGAGGCCAGAGCAGCAGCCCAGCGCTCTGCCAGGTCCCTGAGGGACGCGACGCAGAGGCTGCCCAGCCTGTGCCTCCTGCTCCCCAGACCCACGCCGCACCTGTTCCGGGGCACTGGCCGGGCAGGGGACCTCGCGTGTGACTCCTGCTCTGCTTGTCCTAGCGGAGAAGAAGATGATGAGCTCAGCCTCGGCAGCAGGAGCCCAGCAGATCTACTCCCAGGGAAGCCCGTTCACCCCGGGACACTCGGGGAAGGCCTTCAGGTACGTGTGGGAGAGTGCAGAGGGGCCGGCGTCGGGGGGACGGTGCCCTGGTCTCAGAGTTGGGCAAGGATGGGTCAGCACACGCGTCCTGGCCCCCAGGCCCTGCACCTCTGCGTTGCCATAGATACTGGGTGTCAGTCACTCCTCCCTGGGTGAGAAAGGCCCCAGCCGCTGTGTTCTGAAGCTGTGCCTGCGAGGAAGGAAGTGGTCTGGCCTCTAGCTGGGGACGGCTGACAGGGCGGCAGGAAGCGAATGGGATCCTGGTTCTCAGACACCACAGCCGCGTCCCTGGGAGAGTGGACGACTCGAGCCATCATCGTGTCTGGGCGCCAGGGGCACAGGCAGAGCGCCAGCTTCCCCAAGGCGCTCAGACCCCATGCCCAGCCTCTGGGGACCTGGCCCAGGGCCCAAGCTGAACTTCCAGGTGTGGGCAGAGGCCAGGGCTGGGCAGCTGGGGCCAGTCGGCCCCGCACCCCCCAGGGAGGGCCCAGCCGAGAGAGACTGCCCTGGCCCTGGCGGAGTGAGGCTCTCACTCCCACACGGGTCCTTGGCCAGACCTGATGGTGGCTCGGGCCCGTCCCGCGGCCACACCTTGTGCCCTGCAGCTGCCTGCAGGCCCTGGTGAGCCCTGGTCAGTCACAGTGACTCTCTGGGGTCTGGATGATGGGATGGCAGCCCCAGAGCCTTCACGAGTGTGGGTCACATCACTGTTGAAGCAAGGTCAAGGCAAGGCCCCCCGACTCCACCTGGGGCTGCTGTGTGGTTCAGGTGCTCTGAACACATCGGCCAGGGGCCGTCTGTGCTGAGCCCTCGCTAGTCCTAGGAACGCTTTGCTGCTTGTGCCCCTGCTGGGGGGAAGACAGCAGGCAAGGAGAGGCCAAGGGGCAGGGGACAGGGGACCGCTCAAGGCTGTGTGACCAGAGAAGGCTCAGCCTGCCTGCCGTGGCCAGGCTCTGCCTCCTGACCAGGGCATGGGCGCGTGGGGGTGAGGAACCTGCAGGCAGAGCTAAGGAGGCTGAGATGGCGGCGCCTCAGGTGCCTGGATGTGGGGTTGGGAAACATCACTGAAACGGGGTGTGGAGGAAGTCGGGGTGCGGGGCAGCAGGGAGGCTGCAGGGGTGCTCAGCATAGATGGCCCGCGCGTCCAAGCTCCAGGGATTGAGCCAGGCTGAGGCTCTTGGGGAAACCAGCGTGGGGCGGGGGAGGGGGTGTTGGGAGCAATGTCAGAGAAGGTGAGGGAGGCCTGGGGGCGCTGGCCGTGTGGGGAAGGGGCCCAGTGTCCCTATCACATGAATGAGTGAATGGATGAATGAGTGGACGAATGAGTGAGTGGATGAATGAGTGATTGGATGAATGAATGACTGGATGAATGAATGAGTGGATGGATGAGTGAGTGGATGAATGAATGAGTGGATGGATGAATGAGTGCATGAATGAATGAGTGGATGGATGAATGAGTGGATGAGTGGATAGATGAGTGGATGAATGAGTGGATGAATGAATGAGTGGATAGATGAGTGAGTGGATAGATGAGTGGATGAATGAGTGAGTGGATGAATGAGTGGATGGATGAATGAGTGGATGAATGAATGAGTGGATGAATGAATGAGTGGATGGATGAATGAGTGGATGAAAGAGTGAGTGGATGGATGAGTGAGTGGGTGGATGAGTGAGTGGATGGATGAGTGAGTGGATGAAGGAATGAGTGGATGAAGGAATGAGTGGATGAAGGAATGAGTGGATGGATGAGTGGATGGATGAATGAGTGGATGGATGAATGAGTGGATGGATGAGTGGATGAATGAATGAGTGGATGAATGAATGAGTGGATGGATGAGTGAGTGGATGGATGAGTGAGTGGATGGATGAGTGGATGAATGGATGAGTGGATGAATGAATGAGTGGCTAGATGAGTGAGTGGATGGATGAGTGGATGGATGAATGAGTGGACAGATGAGTGAGTGGATGGATGGGTGGATGGATGAATGAGTGGACAGATGAATGAGTGGACAGATGAGTGGGTGGATGGATGAATGAGTGGATGGATGAGTGGACAGATGAGTGGGTGGATGCCTCTGAGGGCTCGAGCCTGGGGATGGAGCAGAATTCTCTGTAGCTCTGAGGAGCCAGGGCTGCTTCAGGATGGGGAGGGGGTGGACTGGGCCCCTGGCAGAACAGCATTGCTGGTGCCCCCAAGTGTGCCCCTCCCCAGACTCCTTCCTCTGTGGTCCCGCCAGCCTCGGCCCCTCGTGTCTGTGCCCGAGACCCCCCGGGGTGGGGGTGGGGGGCTGGCCCTTTGAGCCAGAGCACGCCTTTGCTGGGCCGGCCGTGTGAGTGACACGGGTCAGTCTCAGTCCTGGGCCGGGGACCCAGGCCCAAGCGGGTGTCAGTGTCAGGGAGGCCTCTGCAGGAGAAGTGGTGATCAGGAAACGTGCGCTGACCCTGTCCCTGCGTCAGGAAGGGGGTGGGGAGGGAGCCCTTTCCTCCGGAAACCACGGATTTGAAGAGGCGGGAATGGTGGGGTCCTCCCCCGAAGCCAAGGACCTCGTCTTTACAGCGGCCATTGTAGGAGCCCCTGTGACGTCCTTGGCTTCCCCGTCTTTCAGGGGGCGCCGAGTGCATGGAGGGGCACTGGAGGGTCGTTAGGGCTCTCTGCTGCCTCCAGCCTGCTTTCCTCTCACAACCTGGCAGACCAACACCTCCACCAGAAGTCCTCCAGGATGGCCCGCTCGGCACCACTCCTTCGTTCTGCCCGTGTGCTGAGCGGGAGGGAGGGGCTGGGAGGAAACTACAAGCCAGCCCCCCACCCCCATTTCCATCTGTCAGAAGCTCATGGTGTACTCAGGAGACCCCAAAAGCCATCCTGCAGGAAGTGCCTGCGCCCCACAGGGCGGGGACTGAGGCAGGCGTCAGAGAAGCAGCCTGCTGGGCCATGCAGATGACAGCGCACGCTCTGCTGGACACAGCAGGCGCCTAATAAAGACTCCTGGAGTTAAATTAAGCTGAAGGCAGAGGAGTTAAACAAACAGGAGCAGGAGGAAGTTAACGGTGCCGGCTGTGCTTGGTGGGTCAGCCCTGAGTGTCAGCCTGCAGCCTGGCCCCCAAATCCCGAGGCCTTAGCAGGGCCCCCAAAGGGACAAATTAGCCAGCGTCCAGAGGAGCAGGTGAACGCCGAGAACGACTTTTCCTTCCAGGGAGCTTTGCCATTTGCAGGAACCAAACCACCTGCTGAGAGCCAGGGTTTGTCGGGGTTGTTCTGGGGGCTGAGCGGAGCCGAGTGCTGTGTGCCCCCAGGAGACGGAGGCGGAGTCGGGAGGACAGGGACGGCCCTTGGTGGCCCGGCCAGGCTGGGGGCAGCTGGGGATCCCTCCTTTTCCTCCCTGCAGCTCATCGGTGGTGCATGTGCCTGGGGTGAACGACATTCAGTCCTCGTCATCCACGGGCCAGAACATGTCCCAGATCTCCCGGCAGCTGAACCAGAGTCAGGTGGCCTGGACGGGGAGTCGGCCACCCTTTCCCGGACAGGTATGGGCATCTAGGGGGCACAGGACCCCGGGAACGTGCTTGTTAGGGTTCCCAACTCTTAGCATGGGGCGGTGCTCTGAGACAGAGCCAGCCGCCCTGGGAACAGCTGGCCCCACGGGAGCACCAGCCGCCCCAGGGCCACTGTGACAGCTGCATCCCCGGTGGTGGCGACTCAGCAGCCTTTTCTCCGGAGGAGGGGGGCAGGTGCAGATGCCCCCCTCCCCCCAGCACAGCTCTGGTGCCGCTGTTGTTCCTGCCCCGGGAGGCCATAGGGACCCTCAGCTGCATGGTGTGCCGGCTGCCTTGGGGTGGGTGTTGGAGGGGCTGAGTGTCAATGCCAAGGCCTCCACGGCCCCTCCACCCAGGTGGGGCTGATCTGAGGTCAAGACAGCCACGGAGAGTCTCTGTCCTCCAGGGCAGGCCGAGCCGCTGCCTGCCGCACCTGTCGCAGAGGTGACCGGGCGTCGGGGCGGGGGTCTGTGGGTGACGCGTGCTCTCTCTCTGCTTCGTCCTGATGGTAGCAAATCCCATCCCAGTCCAGCAAGACTCAGTCATCACCCTTTGGGATCGGAACGAGCCACACCTACCCGGCAGACCCCTCCTCCTACAGCCCCCTGTCCAGCCCAGCTACCTCCTCGCCGAGTGGGAACGCCTACTCCAGCCTGGCCAACAGGACTCCAGGGTTCGGTAGGTGGAGCGTGATGGAAAGAACCGAGCGAGTCAGCAGAACCAAGTGTTCTGGACACCAGCATTCAGGGGGCTGAGCCCCAGGCTCCCAGAGTCCCAGGACGGGGTCTCCGCTCTGGCAGCAAGGAGGCCTGGGATGTCCCTGAGACACTGGGTGCTTAAGTCTTAGCCTGGAGAAGTGGCCTTGGCACCCCGGAGGCCTGGAGACTGTGTACCTGTGCCCCCATAGAGTCGCCGTGCTGTGGCCCTGGGCAAGGACCTCAGGTCTAACCAAAGCACCATCCTGGGGTTCGTCGTCTTATTTCCCAAACCGTGAGGATACATAGTGACAGGATCGGAGACTTAGGTGAATGACAGCATTGTACAGGTCTCTCCAAAAGGGGTCTGTGTCACCGAAGAACATCTTCCTGGTCCTGGTCAGTACAACCTCAGGCCATAAAGGGCCCAGTGACCGCCCCTCCGGGCAACTTCTCAGGAGCCTTGGCCGTAACCCCACTCTCAGCGTCCACTGTGACTGCCCCCAGCACCTCTGCCGGGGCTGGGGTCCCTTTCACCTGGGGAGGGGCTCCTGAAAGGCACGAGCTGGTGCCCCTTCCCTCACAGCACAGTCACGGGGGCCAGCACTGACTCTGATGGCCGTGCACAGGGGTATGCAAACAGCGGGCCAGGGGCCGTTGCCTTTGCCCCGTCTCCCACTCACAAGATGATTGTAACCACAACCATGGTGCTGCAGGCTAACCCTGGGCGAAGGAGCGCTGTGTGCTAGGCATTCACACATTTGAGTTCATTTAATGCATGCAGTGGCCCTCGGAGAGAGATGCCATTGCCCGGGTTCCTTCCCGTCTGCCCTCGTTGGCACCTTCTAATCGCTCCTGGGGGAGCCCGGGGCTCCGCAGGATTGGGATGTCCCAGCAGATGCCCCCGGGTTTATCTTCCTGAGACAGGGGCTGAGCCCTTCCGATGAGGGCGTGGAAGAAACTGTCACCTAGGGAAATTCAGGCTGGAACACCCCGCTCGGCCGTAGCGTCAGTCTCTCGTGTGTGTGCATTGACAGCAGCAGTTTGCATGGAGCTGATGAGGCTTGGGCATGTGTGGGAGCCAGACTCTGCAGGAGCCGGCAGGGGAGGGAGCAGAGGGCGCCCCAGCTGGCCCCCAGGGCATGCGGAGCTCAGAGCAGAGCGGAAGGGGCGGGTGCTGGGGCCACCAGAGGAAGCAGGTGACCAGTGACTGGGAGGAGGGGCCTCAGGGTGGCTCACTCACAGCCCAGGTGACTGCTCCTGAGGAATGTGGGGAGGGACGCAGGGAAGGGGACAGGTGAGAGCAGGGGTGAGAGCAGTGCAGGTGATAGCAGGTGAGAGTTCCTGACTCCTGGCCCAGCCTTGGCTGTTGTGGCCATTTGGCGAGTGAACCAGTGGACGGAAAAATCTTTCTCTCACCTTCCCACTGTCGGTCACTCTGCCTTCCAAATACATAAATATTAAAATAATATGGCTTTCTGCGTGTCACCGGGCAGCAGGCACCTGCTGGTCGGCACTTCGGTGTTTCTTGGTGAAAAGGTGCAGTTACTGGCAGAGAAGTGGCTCAGAGGTGCTGTCCCGGGCTATGCGTGGCCTCGACACGTATGGCCTGGACGCCATTGTTTTCTTAGCAGGGACAGTGGCTTGGCTGTCATGGGTCATGTCCCTGGCTTTGGGTTCACCGTACGCTTTTCAGTTTAGATCGAGATAGCAATGAGTTCACTTGTGTCGCCCACCACGTGGGGTCCCTGCAGCTCCAGTTTGGTCACAGCAGCTCAGACCAGCGACCCTGAGGGGGAGCATCCCTGACCACACTCAGGAAACACATCGGGAACTCAGTGCCTCGCCTTCCGAGACCCACATCCTGCCCAGCCTGCCCCACCCAGCCCGGGTCTGCTTCCGACAGCGGAATCGAAAGGATTTGTCATTCCCAAGATGTCGGAAGCATGTAGAGGGTGTGTTAGAGATGGGGGAGCGGAGTGGGGGTGACCTGGGATGTGTGCACGCCCGCGCACGCTCTTCTGCTCTGGCTCCTGCCCCCCCCCCCACTCAGCCCTGTGGGTTTGGGGGAAGAGTAGAGCTCCCCCCATCCCTACCTGTTAGTGCTGAGACGGTGAGCTCTGGGGAGGGGCGTCAGCTGGGTGGTTGAAGGCAGGGTAGGACCCCCCCTCTGCACCCCCTCCCACCACCATATTAAGTGCCTGGCTTCCAGTTCCGGCCCCAGTCCTGGCCCCCGGGCCCAGGACGCCTCACTGCAGACATCAGGAGAGTGAACCAGAGGATGGGACATGCCCTCCCACTCTGCCAATTAAAACACAAAGACTTTTTTTTTTTTTTTTTTTTAAGTTGAGAGCTTAGCAGTCCCAGGGAGTTTGTGGTCCTTGTGGTGACGTCCAGTTGCTTTGTGCCCTGGGGCATTTGAAAGATATGTTGCCCCTTTGGTGGCTTGGTGCAAGCACATGGACACTCGAGGCTGGCTTATTCTCTGTTATAGGGAGCTGTCTGTTCACCATAGGGTCCCGGCAGGGTCTTAGTATTCCTCTCGTTAAGCTGATGAGAACGTGTCCAGCCGTCGCCAGGTGTGCCCTGGAGTGGGTGCGAATGGGGACAAAATCACCCCTGGCTGAGAACCGCCAAGCCCAGCCCAACCGTGCAGGTCCTGGGTGGGCCATCCGACGAGTCCCAGCTCCCAGAGCTGTATGCACATCAGCTGAGTCACACCGGGGAGAGTGTGAGTGAGCGAGAGTGAAGTCATAGCACTGAGCTTCAGGTTAAAAAAAAAAACACGGTGTCATCCCCACCTTGACAGCCTCACAGCCTCCAATACTCCTGAGGTTGTGACCTGGGCTCCAAAAGCTGGCACGGGCGGGTGCAGCCAACAGCACAGTCCCTCTGGACCGCAGGTGGTCTGCACAGCCAGCTGGGCCTGGGCCAGCCCAAGCATTGCTCAGGAAGCCAACAGATCTAGAGAAACAGCGTGGACGGAGCCCAACTCGTGCTTAGTAGCTCTGTAGAGGGGTGGGTGCTTCCGAAAGTTCCTGGAGAAAGGAATTAAAAAGTTCATTTCAGTGCAGACAACTTTTGAGATCCGTGAATGCAAGGGGTGTTGAGAAAGTTCGTGGAAAATGCACATCATGAAAAAAATGCACCAAGATGATCTTATCTTTCAATTCCATTTTCTATGAACTTTTTGAATTGCGCTCATCCGTGGCTTTGGGAACACAGGATGTAGGGGGGACCACTGGAGTGTTTTCCAGAAAGAGGCTGGTAGAGGCCCACGTTGGGGGCAGGCTCCGTGCAGCCGCTACTGGCCGTCTGTGTACCTCCCGGCACAGGGCAGCCGGGCTAAGAACCCACAAGGCTGTGTCATCAGGAGAGGTTCTGCTGAAGTTCTTAGTGTCTGGCCAGAGAGGCCATTGCTACAATCAATAATCAATTGATTGATTCGCTTTCGGCAGCAGAGGCTGAAAGGGGGGCTGTCCCCTTAACCCCACCATCGGTCCCGTGGCCAGTGACGTCATCCGTGAGGTCCGCACTTGGGTCTGGGGCAGGTCCATTGCCACATCTCCCTGTGGCTGACCACACTTCCCTGGCAGGCGCTGTCCGCACGGCTGATTGCCCGAGTGCTCGCCGGTGTCCCCCCATGGGCTGAGCCGGTCTCGATGGCCACTGCTCTGCAGCCACCCCTGCCCAGTGTCAGGTGCATGGAAGGCGTTCACTTTGAACACTGTGCTTCTCAGATGCGCTCCCATGGCCTCCACTGCCAGCAAGACCCGGGTCTGGCGTGCATACATGTAAAGAGGTGGGCTAACTTCTTAACATCGTGGCTGGGAAGTGTGGATAATGGACCCATTTCTTAGGCATGCAAAGTATCTTTTTTTTGAAAGGTTTTATTTATTTTCTTGAAAGTCAGAATTACACAGAGAAGGAGAGGCAGAGAGAGAAAGAGAGAGAGAGAGAGAGAGAGAGAGGTCTTCCATCCGTTGGTTCACTCCCCAACTGGCCACAATGGCTGAAGCCAGGAGCCTGGAGACTCTCCAGGTCCCCCATGTAGGTGCAGGGGCCCAAGGACTTCTTCTGTTTCCCAGGCCGCAGCAGAGAGCTGGATCATAAGTGGAGCAGCCGGGACTAGAACCAGTGCTCATATGGGATGCCGGCACTGCAGGCGGTGGCTTTACCCACTATGCCACAGTGCGGGCCCCACAAAGTACCTTATATACATTACTTCCATTCATTTTCTCTTCACTCTGACTAAATTCTTTCCATCCTTCCTGAACTGTTTTATGCCATTTCAAAAGCAATCCAAATTGATTTTGTTTTCCCATTGCAAACACTTCACATGTTTTTAACATTTGATTTATTTGAGAGAGAGAGGGAGAGAGAGAGGAGTAGCCATCCACAAATTTCTTGCACATGCATGGATTTCAAAACTTCTTGCCCAAAAACAAACCTGTCTTTTATTTGCCTATCCCTTGAGCCTTTTGAAGCACCCGTGTACGTGCAGTGGCAGCCAGGGGCCCGGGTCACAATGGCAACGCAGGAAGTAGTCTCTGGAAGAGTAAATGAATGCGTCTGTTGGTGGGAGCAGAAGAGGCTGCTCCCATCGGCGTGTTCAGGAGACAGGGCGGACTCGGCCAGGGGGTTCCTGAGAAGGAGTTGGGAAAGAGGCGGTGATACCAGAGCCACACGCCGTGCTAGAAGTCAGCGAAACAGTATCAAAAAGGGAGCGGCAGGGCAGGCATTTAACCTAGCGCTTAGCACTGCGCTTGAGACATCAGCATCCCAAGCTGGAGGGCCTGGGTTCAAGTCCCAGCTCTGCCCTCTCGATTCCAGCATCCTGCTAATGAGCACCTGCAAGGCAGCACCTGGGAGACCTGGGTAGAGCTTCTGGCTCCTGGCTTCACACAGTCCTGGCTGTTTTGGGCATTTGGGGAGTGAACCAGCAGATGGGAGTGCGCTCTCTCTCTCTCTCTCTCTTTCTTTCTCTCTCTCTGTACCTCCTTTCTCTCCCTCTCTGCCCACCTCCTTTCTCGGTCTCCCCACCTCCTTCCCCCCTCTCTCTCTCTTTCCCACCTTCCTCCCTCTCAAATGAATTAAATAAACAATTTTTTAAAAAGAGAGTGGTTGAGAATGTCGCATGCCCAGGAGAAACTGAGAAGCGGAGAACTCTGAACACCTGCCGGAGCGGGCATGGCCATGCAGCTGCGGCTGTGGAGTGGCTGCAGGGGCCAGGGGAGGGGAGGAAAGAGAAAGATGCTGGCCTGAGGACAGAGGGGGTCCAGAGCTCTGATTCCTGAGGGGCAGCAGTCAGGGCGGTCCTCACGGATACACTGGAACCTTCCCACCACCTGCCCTGCCCTCCCGACGGTGGACGGGGGCCGTGCTGTCCTTTCCCTGCTGAGCCTGTCGGCCAGCTGTTCAGCCTCTGCGTGCCCTGGAACAGGCCAGGCACCTGCCAAGTGGTCATCCCCACCCGCCTCCTGCCAGGACTTGTGAGCCAGTCTGTCCTCTCTTAGCCCACCCTAGAGTTTAGATTCCCACATCAGGTCAGTGGGTACGATTCTTTGCAGAGCGGACTCCTTTGCGGTCCTGGCAGTCTGGTGTGCTAGCATTTCAGATTGCTAAGTATGCACGTTCTCAAAGATCTGTTTATTTTAAAAGTAGAGCCACAGAGAGAAAGGGAGATCTTCCACCCACTGGTTCACTCCCCAAATGGCTGTGGCAGCCGAAGCTGGGCTAGGCCAAAGCCAGGAGCCAGGAGCTCCATCCAGGTCTCCCACGCGGTGACAGTGGTCCACGCCCTTGGGCCATCTGCTGCTGCTTTCCCAGGGCCATTAGCAGGGAGCTGGATTGGAAGTGGAGCAGCCAGGACTTGAACTGCAGCTCTGATGTGTGATGCTGGCATTGCAGCAATGGCTTAACCCATCGTGCCACAGCACCGGCCTTTAGATGCATATTTTTTACAGCCGTGTCCCAGGTGCACAGTAGATTTAAGCCCCTTATGAGCTGAAGTACCCTGCCTTGCTTTTATAGAGCTCTTGGCCAACTGTTGATATGGTGAAGGGTTTGAAAAGCACCGATGATGCTTCGGGGAGCTTATGGGTTGTACTAAAGCCCTTTCTGTCTCAGGCAGAGTGTGTGTGTGTGTGTGTGTGTGTGTGTGAGAGAGAGAGAGAGAGAGAGGAGAGAGAGAGCCAGTCCAGTGATACATGGAGACACAGAGGGATTCCCGTCCTTGAACCCTTTCCGGCCTTACCCCAGATGAGCCCAGCGTCTGGGGGCAGGGTGTGGGTGGCGGAGGGTGGCCAGCCTGGTTGTTGAAAAGAGTGTGATGGGGCCTGTCCTATTCCCAGGGCTCAACAGACAGCCCATTGTCTCCAAAATGCTGCCACATGCCGGACGAGAACAGGAGTGCCCAGGTCTTTCATGTGCCTTGAGAACCCGCTGTGGTTGAATCCCAATAATGTTTCAGGCAAAATTCTCCCCCACCTTCCTCTTTTCTGTCTCTCCACCTGAGGCTTCTCGCGACCTGTTGGTGGAAGCCAGCAGCCCTCCTTCCTGCACCCACCGTGCTCAGAGGCGGCTTCTCCCCGGTCTGAGCAGAGCCCAGATCCCGCCCCTGCAGGCAGGAAAGGGCTGTGCCGTTCCTGGGCCCATAGTTGGGCCTTGTGAGAGGTCAGGTGCAGCTTTGGCCACAAAGACCGCCCGGGTAAGGCTGGTGGTTCCCAGGGGACGCTGAGCCCAGGCTGTCCCCTATCAGAACCAGAGCCGTGAAAGGGTGACCTCTGGGCCAGAGTATCTGGAATGACAGAGCGGTGTCTGCCTTCTCTTGCCAATGCCATGTCACCAGCAAGGGACCTCAGCACACTCTGGGTCCCACAGACCTCCCCCTGCTCCCCACGCCCTATCCCAGCCTCCACGAGCAGTCGCAAAGGGCACAGGAAGCTCCAAGGCTTGGCCACCTGGCCACCTGGCAGGTGCATCCAGGGAGAGCCACCCTCTCTGGCCAAGTCCCAGCATCCTTTGAGAGAGGGCTCCCATGTCTCTCCCACCTACTCAGCTTGTCACAGGCGGCCCCCGACTCATGAGTCTCCCCACGGTGATGCGAAAGTGATACCCGTTCTGTAGAAACCATTGTGCCGGTTTGGCATGTTGGACTAGCTCTCCAGAAAAAAGTCATTCATTCTGAGCTCAGAACTCCAGAATGTGCAAGGGATACGCGGCGCTCCACTGCCAGACACGCTTGGCGTTGGGGGCTTTTGCTCGCCTCCAGCCAACGCGAGAGTCTGGGCTCGCCGAAGGTCAGTGCGGCTAAGCTAGGCTGTTCGGTGGGTCACAAGCTGAGATGGGTGGAGGGGGCCATGTCACCACATCCTAAGCCGAGGAGCGTCTTGTGTCTGTCAGTCAGAGTGACAACAAGCACCCAGCCAGCCCCAGCGGGCAGGTGCCTTTCAGAAAAACAGGCCCCTTGAGCTACAGGAGTGCCTGGGTCTCAGAAACCGCGTGTGGCTTTTAAGGGACGTGTCGTGTCCGTCGGCTCTTTCAGCTGAAAGTGGACAAGGCAGCGGGCAGTTCCAGGGGCGGCCCTCGGAGGTCTGGTCACAGTGGCAGAGCCAGCACCACGGCCAGCAGAGCGGTGAGCAGCACTCCCACCAGCAGCCCGGTCAGACTGAAGTGTTCCAGGTAAATCGAGCGAGCACCGCCTTCCCGTAGGTACCGGCGCCTTCTCTCTGCTTCCGTTCCCCCTCGGTCTCAGCCGCACCACCGCCTGCCCAGTAGCCATCATGAGTTCTGGCCCGGCCTGGGGCTAGACAGGGGCCCCGGGGTAGGCGATCCCCTCCTGCCCAGCCCGAAGCTGCAGGTGCAGCTTTGCCAAAGGGGATGCCACGGCGGGAGACTTGTCCTAGCTCCGAACTCCAGGGCTGCCCAGGACTCAAGGCAGAAGTGAGGGCCCTCGGTTGCCTTTCCCTGCCTGACCTCCTCCTCGCCCTGCTGCACCTGGAACAGGGCAGGCAGACCCATCAGGCCCTCACCCCAGGGCCAGCCTGGCTGTGACTGAGCACGTCTCTCTGGTTGGGTGCAGGGTGTCGGCCCCTGGTTGCGGGTACCTGGGCTCCTTGCACCTCTCCAATGTTGGAGCCAGGCCTGGCTCACCCCGCAGGCCCAGGGCAGCCTTGGCCTGCCTGTGCAGCTGGGATGGACATCACTGTAGCCACCAGAGCAAGCAGGGCTCTCTGCCCCCTTGGGGCGTCCTCGGCTTCACAGTCAACTGCAGGCATTCCCATCAGTGGCGTTTCAAGCCCCTGGCCGCTCGCTCTGCCAAGTGCTCGGCCCCTCCCATCAGCCCCTTGCACTACACCCCCCCCCCCCGCCCTGTTGGGCCCCAGAACCCAGCTCTGTAAATCAAGGGTGGGGGCAGGAGCCACGTTGGGGGAGGATCCTGGGACCCCTACCATCACAGTGCCCCACCTGCCTCCCACGCTTCTCTCCCACCAGAGCAGGCAGACCAGGGGTAGGACCCAGCCGTCATCAGGGTGCCGGAGCGGGCACAGCTTCCTTCCGCAGACAAGTGCCGTGCCCCGGGGCTGACGCCGCCCCGCCCCCGACTCTGGTTGCCCCTTCTTCCTCCTCCCGTGAGAACCCAGCTCCGCCCCTCCTGGGGCCTCACGGACGCCCCATGAGGCTGACTTCCCTCATGCAGGTCTCCGCGGTCACAATGCCGGAAAGAACTCTTGGTCGGTTATGAGACACTGGCTTGTTTACCGCAGGACTTAGCAGAGCTTCTGCTGTGCCCGTGGGGGCTTGTGGGTTTCTAGGAGGCAGGCCAGGGGCGCCTTGTCTCCCAAACTGGCTTGCCTGCCGAGTTCTTTCCTTGCGGAGTTTCACACGGGTTGAGGATTCCGCAGACACACGTGGGAAATTAGCCACAAGCAACTGAGAAAGCTGCATCCTCCCATTTTCTGTTGGGTAGACTGAGGCCCAGAGACCTGAAAACTGACGTCCAGCCGTGCGTGCAGGGATCTGGCCCTGCTCCCACTGAGGCTCCTCCCCCAGCCCCACTGTGCACCTGGCTGGAGTCCCGCCCCCCCCCACCTCCACCCCCAGGCAGCTCGCGTCCACTGAGACCCTGACTCAGCATTAGTGGTGTCCTGACATTTGCTTGCCTGTGCATGACAGCGAGATGCCAGCAGAATCCCCCCCGCACTCCCCGTTAGAGAGGTGGTGGCAGGGTGAGCGGCAGGCTGGGCTCCTGGATGAAGCCATTGACTCCCCTCCGGTTCTCCTTTCTTCTCCTCTGCAGGACATGCTGCCCATGCCGGGGGACCCCACCCAGGGCACCGGCAACTATAACATCGAAGACTTTGCCGACCTCGGCATGTTCCCGCCCTTCTCCGAGTAGCCAGGCTGCCGCTGTGCAGTGCCACCCACGAGGTGATGCCGGGGCCCCCTCGCCGGGCCTGCCCTGCCGCAGGACCCCCACCGGGAGCCACCCTGACCCCCACGTCCCCCCAGGCATGGCATCACTCAGCTCTAGTCCACAGCCCCGGCTGCCCAGCCCCTGACCCTGGTGCACGGCCGGGATTGGGCCTATTTATCGTCTTGTGCCTGTGTGTGTGCCCCGGAGCTGTGCCTGTTGGGTCCTTGCTGTGCTGTGAGAGGCGATTTACACCCTAACCAGAGCAGCTGATGCCCAGAGGGGCCTGCCAGCAGCGCAGGCCTGCTGGACTGGGCAGGGGGAGGGGTGGATGACGAGGTGAGCAGGGTGCCCAGCCTGTGTTCCCCGCGCTGGAGCCCAGGGGTGCAGGGGACACACGGGCGGGTGCCCCTCGGCTCAGCTCACCTGTCTGTGCGTCCCGTGTGCAGGGGGACACGAGTACGTAGTGCATTGTGACATGAACCGTCCATCCTAATGGCTGTGTTGTGCCCCGTGTGTGTGGTGTGTGAGCCCAGTGCCCGCAGTGAGCGTCACAGCCCAGCCGTGCAGCCTCACCTGAAGGGAGGAGGCAGCTCTGTCCTGAGCTGCCGCTTTAGTGGCCTCCAGGAGTCACGGCGCCAGGACCTGCTCCCTGGAATGCGTCAGTCCTGTAGCCCGTGCCCCACCCTGGTGGATGTAGGACCCAGCTCCTCCCACAGGAGCCGGCCCCTCCCTCCTCCAGCAGGCAGCCCTGGGGGCCCTCAGCCCCTCTGCCTCGGGTCCCAGCAGCTCTGTTGCTGCTGTCACATCCCTGTCTCCAGCTCTGCCCCACAGGTGGGCACAGACGCTCGTGGGAAGGTGCACCCCGAGCTCCCCCAAGGGCAGACGTGGGGTGGCCCAGGACAGTGGGCGTCCTCACAGCCTGTGCCGCCTTCCGCTCAGTGCTCCTGCAGGTGGTCTGGGGTCACGCTGGGCATGGGGGGTGGACGGTGTGAGAAGGCCTGGGCCTGGGCCTTCTGCCTTCAGCCCCCTTGGTGGGACAGCCGGGGCTTGGAAAGGGACACAGTGCAGGTCTCTGGGGGAAGGAAGGCTTGGGGCCCAGTCCAGGACCCTGACTCCAACAGGAGCCAAGGTCCCAGCTCACCGTGCTTCGCTCTAATTTGGGGGTGATGAATTGAGAATCTGTACCCCCCTACACCTTCCCGGCCTCCCCTCCCATGCCCTTCACACAAATGAGGGCTCCCTTGGCCTCTCCTTTCTCTCCTGTGAGCCTCACCTCCGCTGTCTCATCCCCACCCTGAAGCAGCGCCCTCGCCCCGACTCCCAGGTGGCACAGAGAAGTCCTGCTGGGGCCCGGGCAGGTGGGACAGCCCCCCGTCCGGGAAAGCCCCCATGCCCACCACCCATCATCCAGACTGGCCCTCAGAGACAAGACCCTGGAGGGCCAGGGGCAGCGGCGTTGGTTCTGGGCTGCCTGAGGGCCGAGGAAACCCAGCGTGTGCAGAGCAGCAGGGGGCAGCGTGTGCTGTGCCTCCTGGGAGATCCGTGTGCCCAGTGTCGCTGAGGCAGCACCCACCAAGTCCAGCACGGCTCAGGGGAATGCCTTTGGCCTGCAGCCAGGTCCTCCGTTCCACCTTAACCCCTGACTTGATGGTTCCTTCAGTACCCTTGTGTACATAGGGGTGATTGGGCCCTGGGTTTAGATGCACCTGCTGTTCGCGCCAACCTTCTCCCTGCTGGGGAAGTGGCAGGGGCTGTCCCCACTGAGCCACCCCCAGAACAGGCTTCCCTCTGTGCCCCCTGCCCTGAAGGTCACCTCTGTCTCCAGCAGCCCAGGAGCCTGTTTATTCCCCACCCCCCTTAAAAAAAACAAAGGCACAGAAATAGCTTATGGAGCACAGGAGTGTTGCCCGGGGAGATGAACGTGGACTTCCCGTGGCCTCTGGCTGCTGGGTTCAGAGGTCCGGGGGAATGGGGCGGGGCCATGCATTTGGTTTCTGCCCTCTGGTTTGGGGAGGGAACTTGGAGGACTTTCTTAGTTGCATACAGAGGTGAGCGCAGGGACTGGGGGCCTGGCCTTGCCGTCCTGGGCTCTGCCGGGCACTGAGGGGCTGCCACAGAGAGAGGAGAGGACCCCTTCCCCCAGTGACTCTGCGTCCACTGTTCTCATTTGAGCAGGATTTGGGGTGCAGCCAACTCCAGCCTTGGTCCTGGGAGGCGAGGACCCGTAGGTGGCAGCCAGGTGAGGCTCCCTCCGATGCAGCCTCTCCCTGGGGCCCCGAGTGGGAACTCGCTGTCCGGCTCGCAGCCTGTGCTGTCCGGGTCCTGCTCCACGTTTTGACTGTGATTTATAGAAACCATCACAAGACCAACAAGCCAGGGAGAGGGAGGGCAGGACCCCAGGATTAGGAGAACCTCGCAGCCCAGGGAATCAGAATTTAAAGGTCCAGGGGATGCAATTATCCTTGTGTGCAGAAAACCCCCCGTACCTGTCCTGCTCAGCCCAGGAGGCCAGAAAGCCATGGACCCACCTGTTGCCTGGTCCCTCACCTGTGCCCTGCCAGCTGTCTCCCGCCGGAGACAGAGGCCATGCTGACTTAGGCAAGCGGCACACGTGAGCCGATGTGGCCCTGAGACTCACCCCACTCACACCTCCTAGGCGTTCCCCTGGCCTCACTCAGGTTATCTGGAAAAGGCATGCAGTGGCTGCCTGAGCCATTGGCCAGGACACACGCCCTGCCCACAACTGGGTCAGTGACTGGGACAAGGGCCATGCTGCCTGTCCATTCTTCCCCCCTGGTTCTGGTTTCAGGGAGTGATGAAGCCGTCACAGAGCCAGCCGCTTCCCCTGCTTCCTATCATAGCCAGATCAAGCCTTGTGTCCTTTCATGAGCAGTGGGCGTGACGCCCCGTGAGGTCAGGGCACTTACAGGGAGGAGGCTCAGTCCCCCGTGTCGGCGGGAGCAGGTGGCATTCTCCTCCCTCCCCCACGGCTCCGTGACCACCTGATGAGCTGTGCTGCCACGGGCGCACCTGCTCCGGGACACCCATGCCTTGTCTCATAAGTGAGGGCAAGCCACAAACCTCGCCGTAGCCAGGAAGAAGTCAGATGAGAAACGCTCTGTATTGCCAAGAAAGAAAGGTTTGGGCATGGGGTCGCTGTGTCCTGACCTGCCTGGGTCCCCTTCTCTTCCATCCCCCACCAAGCCCGTGTAGTGCGGGGCCAGGAGCCGCCTGATTGTCCATCTCTCCCTGACTGCCTGCAGTCTGGGGTCAACTTGAAGACAGTGTCACATGCAGCGCTTCTGGGGACTTGTCGCTCTCATCAGGCACCTGCGGAAAGCCCGTGAGGCACTGGCCGGAAAAGGAGCAAGAGGGAGGTTCCACAGACCGTGCGTGAGCCGGGCAGTGCGCTTCCTCTAACCATCTCTGTTCCCTTTAACAAAGACACCAGATCTGCAAGCAGGCTTCTGTGGACAGTGTTAAGCACTTAATCATTTCTGTGTTAACCTTTCTTCCTATGGGTGTGACCTGTGCTGTGCATAAATCATCATTTGTATTTCTTGAATGTTCTCTAAGACTAACAGTTATTAAGTCGGTTGTGTATATGTGTAACTAATGTAACTGCCTTTTCAAATTTCATTACAATAAAAATGACCTAGCGCTGCAACAGTGAATGGCCCTGGCCAACTTTGTCATCCGATTCAGCGTGCAGCGTTGCCCTGGGCGCTTGCTGTGACTTGTCCCACACTGTTTCCTCGGGGCTGCGCGTTCCCCTGACCAGCGAGGGTGCAAAGGACACGTGTGCTAATGGACAGCCTGTGAGGGCTGCGGCTGCCTTCCATAGAAGAGAAACGGGAGGAACCAGTATTGCAGTTCGGTGAGTCCAGCCGCTGTGACACCGGCATCCCATATCGGGATTCGAGCCCCTCTCTCTGGGAGGCAGCAGGGGGTGGCTCAGGTGCCTGGGTCCCAGCCACGCATGTGGGAGACCCGGATGGAGCTCCCAGCTGGCTCCTGGCTCTGGCCAGTTCTGGCTGTCACAGGCATTTCAGGGAGTGAACCAGCAAAGGAAGGTTTCGTCAGCTTCTGCCTGTCTCTCTCTGCCTTTCAAACAAAAACGAAAATAAAAAACTTTTTTAAAAGGAAAGGAAATGAGAAATTTCTGGCCAGGTGAGCCAGGCTCTCCAGCACGGCTCCTCTTGCTGGTCCACCCTGCTCCACAGGGTGCGGGAGCACTGCTGGGTGGCAGGTGGGGAGACTGGGCCCGAGACACGTAATTAGCAGCAGGTGGCAGAGCCGAGACTGGATCACAGGGGTTACTCCACCGGCCTGTACATACTACCCTCTTCTAACACACCTGCTGGCTTTTTATTTTCTTTATTTGAAAGAGTTAGAGAGAGAGAGAAAGAGAAAGGTCTTCCATCCACTGAGTCACTCCCCAAATGGCCATAATGGCCAGAGCTGTGCCGATCCGAAGCCAGGAGCCAGGAGCTTCTTTCTGGTCTCCCACACGAGTGCAGGGCCCCAAGGACTTGGGCCATCCTCCACTGCTCTCCCAGCCACAGCAGAGAGCTGGATTGGAAGCGGAGCAGCTGGAATTCAAACCGGTGCCATATGGGATGCTGGCCACACTGGCCGGGGCTTAGCCCACTACACCACAGCGCCTGCACCGTGTTTCCTTAATATGCATTTTTTTCATAGAAAAAGACACCTTTTGTACATGGATTTCAAAAATTTTACACCAAAATAGACTTACCTTTGGTTTCTGTTTTCCATGACCTTTTGAAAGCATCCTCATGTGTCCCTTGTTTATAAGTGGAGGCCAAAGAAAAACATGAATAAAAATGCCGTGTTCCAATTCCCTCCTATTGATGATTGAGCCAGTTGGAGAAGGAGCTGTGACAGGGGTCAAGTACAGGGCAGGAGTAAGCTGCTCAGCATGGGGGCGGGGCAAAGACACTGCAAGGTGCAGCCTGGTGCCCTCCCCGCCGCCCCTCCCAGACAGGGGTGACGAAGCATTGCTTCCTTGTCTTCCACTGAGAAAAGAGAGGTCATCGCCCTGTTACCAGGTTGCAGGCTGGCAGTCGTGAGCTCACTTAGCCGGCAAACTTAAACTTGCACTTGCTAAGCAAGGGTTCCTGGGCTCCTGGAGGAGCGCTTAGGTGGCAGCGACTCCCCCGGGAGTCTGGTGCTGACCCCCTGCGGAAGGGCAGGCAGAGCTGTCACCAGTGCAGGCTGGAGCCCGGACCCCCGCGGGCAAGGGTGGGCCAGGCTTTGCGACAGACAGGGGCCAGCTTCCCCAGCACTTAGAAGAAGGCAGAAAGGGCTTTGGAAAAGCCTCGTAGGATGGCCCAAGTGCTTGGGCCCCTGCACCCATGTGGAAGGCCTGGAAGAAGCTCCTGGCTCCTGGCTTGGCCTGGCTCAGCTCTGGCTGTTGTAGCCACTTGGGGAGTGAACCAGTGGATGGAAGCTCTCTCTCTCTCTCTCTCTCTCTCTCTCTCTCTCTCTTTCTCTCTCCTCTCTCTCTAACTCTCACTTTCAAATAAATAAATAAATCTTAAAAAAAAAAAGACTTAGAGGGTGGTTGCTAAGTTTCCAGTGAAGATTATATCAAGCTTTTTTTTTTATTAAAAAAGTTATTTATTCTGTTTATGCAAAAGGCAGGGACAGAGAGAGAGAACTCCCCTGGGCTGGTTCACTCCCTCGGTACCTGCAACATGGACTTCACCAGGCGAAAACCAGGAGTCAGGAGCTCCATCTGTGTCCCCACGTGGGCAGCAGGGACCCACATACTTGGGCCATCACCGCTGCCTCCCAGAATGCACTTTGGCTGGAAGCTGGGATGGAGAGCATAGCCAGAACTTGAACTTGGCTCTCTGCTATGGGATGTGGGTCTCCCAAGCGGCAGCTTAACTGTGCTGTGCCAAACGCCCACCTCTGCGTCAAGGTCGCAGGGTTCCTGCACACAAAGGATGGGCCTCAGGTGACAAGCGACCGGCTTTTTTCTTTCTTTTTTTTTTTTTTGACAGGCAGAGTGGACAGTGAGAGAGAGACAGAGAGAAAGGTCTTCCTTTTGCCGTTGGTTCACCCTCCAATGGCCACCGTGGCCAGCGTGCTGCGGCTGGCGCACCGCGCTGATCCGAAGCCAGGAGCCAGGTGCTTCTCCTGGTCTCCCATGGAGTGCAGGGCCCAAGCACCTGGGCCATCCTCCACTGCACTCCCGGGCCACAGCAGAGAGCTGGCCTGGAAGAGAGGCAACCAGGACAGGATCCGGTGCCCCGACCGGGACTAGAACCCGGTGTGCCGGCGCTGCTGGGCAAAGGATTAGCCTGTTGAGCCACGGTGCCGGCCCGGGACCAGCTTTATTCTGGATGATTCCTCCATTGTCCGCAGTTACAATGTCTGGTGGCACATCTCACAGGTTTCTGCTATGGGCCTGGGAACCTGCATTCTCACCCTTACCCGTTTCAAGCAGAAGCAGAGATCCAGGGCAGAGACACGGCTGGCTGCACCCAAGGCGTCAGGGTCAGGAGGCTGGGGACACGGGTGCCCTGCGGTCACGGGGCTTCGTTCCTGGCCTTAGTGCAGGAGCTGTCCCGAGAGCTGGTTTTCCCTTTGTGTGTGTGTGTGTGTGTGTGTGTGTGTGTTGGGGGAGGGGCAGGCGGCATTTTTGTCCCAGTTGAATCCTCAGAGTCAGAAAGAAGCCCTAGAGTGACAGCCAGGGAAGGATTGAAAAGCAGAGAGTAACCGGGCAACGGCTGCTGACAGCCGGGAAGGCACGTGCAGGGTGCCGGGGCCACCTGATCAAAGCGTGGCGCGTCGCAGGCGGGAGGGAGGCCTGAGCGGAGACAAGAGACGGAGACGCAGAAGGCTGGGCGGGTGTCCAGGGCAGAGATGGGAAGGTTGGCTGTCCCTGAGTCCCTGGCCTGAGGACCCTGTAGCCGCCACACATCCAGTATCCCCGGGAAACTTCAGCCTGGCCTCGGGGGTTACCAAGGAGATCCGAGTGGAGAGAGCCCAGCCCCGCTGAGCTCACCACACAGGACCCCGATTCTGCTCTTTGCTGGTTTTCACTCGCGGACACCAGAACGCACTGATGGGCCCAGGGCCCCTGAGTGCTACCCTGCCCGAGCTCACAGAGCTGGGGTGCCCAGGACTCCCCACGCCACCGAGAGTGGCTCTGTGCCCTTGACACGGTGCTGCAAGGTGTAGACACCCCTGCAGTTGGAACATGCTGCCTGCAGAGTGCCCTGAGGAGTTGGGATTCTTTCCGTGGACGTGATGTTTGCTGGATGTCATAACCTGGCTCCGTTTTCTTCTATTTCATTCTCATTTCTCTCTTTTATCTTTTTTTAAGATTTATTTATTTTATTTGAAAGGCAGAGTTACAGAGAGGCAGAAGCAGAGAGAGAGAGGGGGGGGGGGACTTCCATCTGCTGGTTTACTCCCCAGATGGCCGTAACACTGGAGCTGGGCCAATCCGGAGCCAGGAGCCAGGAGCCAGGAGCTTCTGCCGGGTCTCCCACATGGGTGCAGGGGCTCAAGGACTTGGGCCATCCTCCACTGCTTTCCCAGGCCACAGCAGAGAGCTGGATCGGAAGTGGAGCAGCCAGGACTTGAACTGGTGCCCATATGGAATGCCGGCAAAGCAGGCGGCGGCTTTACCTGCTACGCCACAGCGCCAGTCCCTTATTCCCCCTTCTTTTCCCAAGGCTTCAGGGGAGCTGTCCTGAGCCCACCTGTGAATGTAGTGTCTTTGTGCAATCCTGGCAGGGAGCGGGGAGGTGGTGACAGATGACAGGGCTGCATCCCTACTAGTTTGCTGGGAGCACTCCTTTAAAAATTTGTGGAAAATGGGATTAGAAGGTAAGATTGTTGTGGTACAAAAAAAAAAAAAAGAAGAAGAAAGAAACAGGGGCTGGCACTGGCACTGTGGCGTGACAGGCAGGTGCTGGCATCCCATACGGGCACCGGTTCATGTTCCAGCTGCTCCTCTTCCAATCCAGCTCCCTGCTAGCATTTCAATGGGAGAGCAGCAGAAGATGGCCCAGTGCTCAAGCCCCTGCACCCATACAGGAGACGCAGAAGAAGCTCCTGGCTCCCGGCTTCCGATCGGCACAGCTCCAGCCATTGTGGCCATTTGGGGAGTGAATAAGTATATGGAAGACTTCTCTCTCTCTGTAACTCTGACTTTCAAATAAATAAATAAATCTTTATTATTATTATTTATTTGAAAGTCAGAGTTACACAGAGAGAGGAGAGGCAGAGAGAGAGAGAGAGAGAGAGGTCTTCCATCCGCTGGTGCACTCCCCAATTGGCCGCAATGGCCAGAGCTGTGCTGACCCAAAGCTAGGAGCCAGGAGCTTCTTCCAGGTCTCCCATGCAGGTGCAGGGGCCCAAGGACTTGAGCCATCTTCTACTGCTTTCTCAGGCCATAGCAGAGAGCTGGATCGGAAGTGGAGCAGCCAGGACTCGAACCAGCGCCCATATAGGATGCTGGCGCTTCAGGCCAGGGCATTAACCCACTGTGTAAACAGCGCCAGCCCCAATAAATCAATCTTTTAAAAAATGAAATTCATGCATATTTGTTTCATGATATGCATTTTCCACGGCCTTTCTGAAGATCTTCTATGCATAGATTTCAATTTTTTTTCCACCAAAGTAAATGTACCTT